GTGTAAACAGACAACAGAGTTAAAGTAGTGACAATGACGGTGATCTCATCAAACTACAATTTTTAGCATCTCTATTTTCCAGTGAAAAGCAAGGCCATCATTCTAGTAAGATCCTACCTCTCATGCTGATTCTTGGGTGGATGACGCAAAGACGAGCCATGATCAGTGAGGTAGGAAGGGAGCACCAAGAAATCAGAACGGAAGGTGATTTCACTTGGAAACATGCGCTCTGCCTGCTAAATGGCTGGCTACCGGCCACCACAGAAGCCGGGCAGTGTGGAGGGCCAGCCAGCAAGCAGCAACTGTCCATTCTAGGGGCTGTCCCAGATAGAAGTCTTTCCCTTAAGCTAATAACGTTCCTAAAGATTCTAAATATGCAAGTAGTAATTTTCAGAGCAACTCCTCTGGCAATTGGCTTCTTTGTATCTAAAACACTCCATAATTATTATATTATTATTATTTTGTCACTCCAAGCCCAGAACTCAACCCCAATTCACTCCAGAGTTGACGTAGACATTTCAAGTTATGAGATACAGTTAATGGGTGTGAGGCTCTGTAATTGAACAGTTTCCCTTAGTAAAGCAAAATGTGAAGCCCTCTGAGGTTTTTTGTAGACAACAGCTGAAGAAGTCTCTTGCTAGCAAGGAGAGGCACCAATGAGCCCCACTGCCTATTTCTACAGGGAGGCTTCATGGTATGCAGCTCCTCCCTCAGGACTTCAGTTCAACTATGAGCCACAACCAAATCCATTTCCCATTGTTCATATAGTTCAACTAGATCGTTCAAGGAAACTATACTTAAACTAAGAGGAACTCTTTTCTGGCCAAAAGCACAAAGGTGTCAAAAAGAAGAAAAAGAAGGTTGCTGCTGTGTCAGAAACTCTTAAGAAAAAATTGGACATTTTGCAGAGCAAAAGGTAAAACTCCAAGAAAGAAGTTTGCCCAAAAGATGCTTTGAAAGTCAAGGAGGAAGTTCGTCTACAAAAAAAGCTAGACACTACCATAAGGAGTGTAGACAGATGCACAGAGCTGAGATTCGAATGGCTAGGATGGTAAGAAAAGCTGACGACATTTATGTACCTGCAGAACCCAAATTGGCATTTGTCATCTAGATCATGGGTATCCATGGTGTGAGCCCAAAGGTCTGCAAGGTGTTGCAGCTTCTTCGTCTTCATCAAATCTTAAATGGTCTTTGTTAAGCTCAACAAGGCTTCAATTAACATGCTGAGAGAGTTGTGGAACCATTGCACGGGGTTCAAACCTGAAGACAGTAAATGAACCAAGAGACAATCCTGGCTATGGCAAAATTAGTAAGGAGGGAATTACCTTGACAGATGACTCATCGGTTGCTCGATCTCTTGGTAAATATGGCATCTTCTGCATGGAGGGTCTGATTCATGAGATCTATACTGTTGGAAAATGCTTCAGAGGGGCAAATAACTTTCTGTGGCTCTTCAATCCTCTTCTTCATGAATTGGAATGAAGAAAACCATCACCTTTTGTGGACGGTGGAGATGCTGGAAATATGGAAGACCAGACCAACAGGCTTATTAGAATCAGCATGAGGGGTAGGCTCTCACTAGAATGATGGCCTTGCTTTTCACTGGAAAATAGAGATGCTAAGGTACATATGCCATGGTGCCTTTATGATTTGGTCAGTCAATAAAACATGTCTGCTTCAAAAAAAAAAAAACCTGAGAGGAAAATAAAAGGGAAATGAATGAAACATTTCAGCCAGAAGCCACAAGACAGGTTTCAGATCCCACAGTGACCAATTCACTCCCAGACCCACTCCATTTCAACGTTAATGTTTGACTATCCTCATTTCACTGTCACTCAGGAGCTTAACTACTTTACCCTGCCCTGCTCTCAAAGCAAATTTTGGCCTCCTGATGCCAAGTTCTCCTACTATGTGATTCAAAAGCTAAGTTTCATCCCTTCCTACCTTATTCTCACACCTGCTTCTGGCTATTTTGTCACGATGTACAGGGACGACAGCTCACTACCTGCTCACTGACTCCTACCCCAACCTCAAAGGAATATGAAGCAAAGGATCATTTCTGTGTACCTACCACGAAAAGATGTGAAATATCCAGGCAAACAATAACGCAAACTTAAGGGGACCTTAAAGCCTTTACTTGCTGGAAATATGCAGGAGAATCTCAGGTTTGCTTCCCCTGCCTGGATGCATTCCTTTCTTGCTATTTTAGAAACTTCTGTCTTATGTCTTGGCTCAGAATTGCCTTCCTAACTAAATGGCAGGTTTGTAACCCCACTGCCCTGACCTACACAAAGCTCTATGTTGTGCTTAGGTGATTTTTGGAGAGGCTCCTGCTGCTTGGTTTAGAGGCTCTGCTTTCTGAGCTGTGCAGTCTTCTTCCTCAGCCAGAAGTCTTCATGCTGCCTCTGGCTTTTTCTGTGCCTCACCTCATCAGGGGAAAGCTGTTTCAATCTTTTGAAAGAAAAGTTTATTTAACTTATAGGTACTAACCTATATGCACTCCCTATGGTTCCTAAGTAGAATTCTGTAATAAATTCGCTGCTTGTACATGAAGAAAATTATAAATTAAGAGGTGAAGGGTAACCTTCGACAGAAAGCCACAAGTGCATGACAGAAGTTCAGTGCAATAGTTCTTTGTATATGAAGATGTCATCACTATGCAGAGGAAGAAAATTACATACTGTCTGCTTCTTTACGGGCCTCTGTGAGTGTGTTTACAACAATAGTTCAAAGGATTTATCATAACAGACAGCAGTCTCCCTAAGGCGTAAGCATTACTTACTATACAAAGGCCCTAATGCCATGTCTGTGGCTCATTTTGCTTCTTAGTCCCATTCACTTTTGTCCAAAGCAGTTCAGATATCCAGGCTGTTCAGAAAAGCTGGATTGCAAAGCTTAACTTTACCATGGAATGACAGAACTCCCTTCTTTGTGACCTACCCGATCTTTTTATTTCAGTAATCTGAATCAACTAGGATCAAATCAGGCTTCACAAGTAGTTTCTATTAGGAAAATCTTTAAAAAGTTTATAGAGTATAGAATTTAGAAATACAAAACCAATACAATTATAGAAATTAGTAGTCATGGAATAACACAAAGAGAAGCTATTCAGCTACTCACTTTCCAACTTTGATACAATAAATTCATCACCTTCCTCACAGTGTCTCATTAGAGATGATCTAGAGACTCGTTTTGGGGGAGTTGGTTTTTTGAAACAGGGTTTTGCTCTGTAATTCGGGCTGGCCTTGAACTATGTAGCCCAGGCCAGCCTCAAACTTGTGGCAATCCTCCTGCCTCAGCCTCCTGAGTGGTGGGACTACAGGTATGCACCACCATGCCTGGCCAACCTACTATTAATGAAATAGTTTTTTTAATTTGAAGATTCTAATATTGCTTATATTTTTATTTTTTCTACAGTAATTGAAAATGGCTATGAAATAATTTGCACAATGTATCATTTGAGTAGCTACAGCACTTGATTTTATTTTGATTTTGTAAGATGATACACTATATACATTATATTTATAGAAAAATTAAGATGTCTTTAGCCATAAAAATTCTTATTCCAAAATTTTAACGGCCTAATTTCTATACCTCCAAATAATTACTTTCAATATTAAAAATATCATGACAACTTACTGGTATTCATTTATAACCTACTGATCCTATTGATTATGATTTTATTATTATGCTTGGTATTCAAGGCTCTCTACAACCTGGGACTTTTCTTACTCAACAAATTTCTTTTCTACCACTCAGTACCATGAACCTAATCAAGATAAAACTCCCAATCTCCCACAAATGTCATGCTCATTCCCATCACTTTTATTTATATTGATCCCTTAAACAAAACATACAGTTCCTTTATAATCAAAATTTTATCTACTATTATCACTTAGAATGTAAAATATAGTTACTCGTTTTTAAAAAAGGAAAAATTAGGACCTTGCTTCACTTATCAAAAAGGATTAGACATAATAAAAGCTCTAAAAATAAAAGAAGTATAACACAGCTAGAAGAAAATACATGCAAATATTTGAACACAAAATAGTCTAAAGTCAATGAAATAGGTAAATGATTACTAGGTTCTACAGAAAGCTTTCAGACATTAAAACCCGAAATGACTGTACAGGATAATACTTTTCTTAGCTCCCCTTTCCAAGTGTTTCAAAGAACTTTATTCTCTTTACATCCAGCAAAATAAAAATATTAGTTACACATAGCTTAATAATGATTTTCACTGGTTTCTTTTTAGGGTTTCACCTTGTTTTTACTGCATCATGCTCTATCCTCCCATTAGATATTTTAAATGTTATACAACAATGTTTTTTATTGTACCCTAACTACCTGCTAGGAAATGTGCCAGAGATTAATATGGATATGCAAAAAACACAAGGTCTTTTCATAACAAAACTTAAGCCCAGTAGATGACAAACATTAATCAAATATTCATAAAAACTGTGGCTTAAAAAAACACATAGCCTATAAGCATGTAAAAAGGTCTCCACCTGTTAGAGATGTGGAATGTGTACCTGTCAAAGACTTTGTGTCTATATAAACTGAGTTCTTCTAACAGCAGGGGTTATATTTTGAGTATTTTTTATCGTTTACCTTTCTGGATCTCACACCCTAAGACTTCTACATTTGTTAAATGATTTATTCCCATTAACATTTAAGGCTAGCCTTTCTTAACTACCCTTTTTTCAATGGTACACATGAAAACAGCTTCAGAATGATCTATAGTTTAAAACATGCTTTAAGAGAAATTTAGAAAGATATACTTTATTTTTATTCTTAAACAACTTGAAAACTTACCTAAGTTACAAGGTGATTTCATGATCAATATGATCAGATTCAATGGTAAATACTATTTAAACATTAAAGGAATAATAAACTTACATACATTTCTTAGAACTACTCACATAACGTAATAAAAGTTATTAAAATTTTTTCACAAACTGTACAAGTAGGTTGTAAAAACATTTTTAAAAACACTATTTTCACACTGTATATCCTGGAAGTTTATTTATTACTAACTCACAGATATCTTTGCATTGCTTGGAAATACTTAGTGGTCCAATGTCATCATCATCTTCTCCAAAGTGATCTGATGTACTGCTATCCAGGTCCTTGAGCTCTAGTTCTGACAAATTAGATGGCAAGTATGAACTCAATTGAGATGTCCGTGGTGAATGGCTTCTCTCTAAAGACTTGCCACTAGTTCCTCCTTTAATAGTAACACCTTGACCTCTCTTTATAACCTTAGAATTACACATACCATTTTGGTCCATCTGGCTTTCTTTTTCCTCAGTTGAATATGATGAAGATAAATTACCAATAGAGATACTAGATGTTTCCTCCAAACTTCTGCCCTGATTCTTTGAAAAATAAGATCTCCCTTTTGAGAGTACTGGTGATCCAGCAGAAAAAGGTGGGCTAAGAATAGAACTCTTTTCATCACTATTTTTCCTTTCGGACAATCTTGCTTCACTAGACTTACTTGTATCTGAACCATGTTTTGGATTCTCTGCCCCTGAACTGCTATCAGGAGCTTGTAAACTTATCAAACTTCTGCTAGTCCCCTCAGTGGTGTGGAAATCTTCAGAATAGCAAGGGCTGGTGAAGTCATCAGAATACTTTAGTTCTGAGATGCTTTCACAGAAACTATTTTTACTTGGCCTGTTTTCACTCATATCAGCACCAAGAACATCATGGCCTGTTGTTTTGACCTGCCAGCCACCTATTTCTTTATCTAAAGTTCTGTCGACAGCATCCTGTTGGAACACATATGGACTTTGGACTCTCTTTACCAATTTTCCTCCCAAAATATTTGTGTGAGTAAATCTTTCTGGAATGATGGAATTTTCAGGACTTCTAATTCCCCCCAATATACCATTTTTGGTTCTGTTTTTACAATCACCTGTCCTTTCTTCAGTTGCTTGTTTCAGTTTACTCTCCTCAGTCACGCTTGGCTCACCAAAAACTCCACTAATTTGCTTTGAGGTATTACTGTTTTCAACAAGAGATGCATCTCCACCTAAATAATTATTTTCAGGGAGTTGTGGCTGCTGACTTTGTTCTGCAAAAAGTTGCTCTTTAATTTTGGATGGTGTAATTCTACATTTAGTACCTAACATTTGTGCTTGCATTTTTCTATAGTGTTCTCTCTTTTCCTGTACTACCAACATATCGGGATTTGTTTTCTTTAAACGTAGTCTTAGCGTATTTGTTAAGCCATAAAGTAGCCTCCTCCTTGTAACTCCTACTTGGGAATTTTCATTGCTTTTTTCCAAATATTTATCTTTCTTAAGCTTTTCAGTTTGGTTTTTTTTATATTGAAGACTCACTGACTTTTTATGTTGTCCCACAGAAAGCTGATGCTTCTTGGATTCAGATTCAGTCGACTTGGCATAAGATTCTGGTATCTTGTCCTGAGTTCTGTACAACCAGGATAAATGAGGATGTACATGAGTAGGACTCGCCATGGGTTGGTTGTACAACAATGACAGCTCAATTAACAAAGCATTTAACAAAGGCAATTGCCTTATTGTATTAATTGTATTTTGCTCAATTTGAGGAGGACATGTGGTTTGATTACTTGCTTCTATATCCTGACTATGTGGAGGACTTACAAGCACTCCAGCTCTCTCTTGTGTTGCTGAATTTGTAAGTTTTACAGGACTCGGATTCGCTGGAGAATTTACCAGGCTTTTTTCCGGAAAAGAACCATCTAACTGCACAGGTACATTTATTTGCGGCTCGGTTATGATTTTAATCCGTGCCGGAGGTGTCTTTTTTGGGGTCAAGTGAGTGTAATAGAGAGGAGGAGGGCAAAATGTGTTGGTTTCAAAGTCCAGCTCTGCAACTTTCTCATCGAGGGGGCTGACACTCTTCCCGCTGCTACCAGCCGGAGGAGCAACAGCGGAGTGGGTTCTGAGGCTCTTTACACAACCTGTGGTGTCAGAGGTGTCCAAGGCACGGAAAACTCCCTTCCTATCATCCTGCAGCGCCGCTGGGGTCCCCGCAGCCTGGTCTGTATCCCTGGGGCGCAGCTCCGGGGCCGACGACGGCCGTCGCTTCTCCCGTGGGAGGTGGGGCATCGGCCGCAGTTTTTGGCCCACCACTGTCCCCTCCGCCCCAGCCGAAGAGGCGAGAGAGGCAGGTGGCTCTGGAGAGCCCAGCTGGCTGCCGCCCAAGTCCGTCAGACGGTAGAAGAGCGCCAAGTCCCCGATGCGCTCTCCAGTCTGGCTGAGCAGGGCGAACGTGCCT